TAGGATCGACACTGTTTCTTCTGTAAACTTGCAGCATGTTCTAATGGTGCGTTCAGACCAAACGCGATTTCTGCGGCCAAATTGCGTCTATCGCGCGGCTTGGGCCGCTTGTGACAAATTGTGGCAGCCGCTGTCACAGAGAAACTTGGCCGCGCGGCCAGGACACTAGAGGGCAGCCGCTGTCACAGAGCGTTGAGAGCGTTTAGGGGCGGGGCTTGTCTCTTTTGCCTGTAGTTTCCCAACATGGATGTCAGCGAAGGAGTTGCTTTATCTGATAAATAAAGCCAGACACGTCGTCAAAGGGCGAATCGACGACGTGTCTGGATTCATCAGATAGTCCGTAGACGGTTGGAGTTTGGTGAGTTTCACCATTTGCTCCGGGAGCTGCGCTCGGATGAGGGTCGCTTTCAGCGGTACTTTCGTCTCTCCCTGGCCCAGTTTGACGACCTATTGACCCGCATTGGCGCTAGGATCTCCTACCAGGACACCAACTACAGGCGCTCTATTCCAGCTGAAGAGCACCTGTCCATCTGTCTGCGGTTAGTGTTTTTTACCCCATTCAGAATTCATAAATACTTACAAAGTGTGTCATTTTTCAATCACAATCCACAATGTAATAGCTCAGAAAACAGTATTATGCAACAATATGGTGTCTATGATTACTGTCTATGATGTTTACTGTCTACTAGTTTAACGTATTTTATGCTACACAAGTTTTGTCACGTGATTTTTATGAATGTTAATTGTGATAAATATGTTCATATCATTTTGTAATTGCAGGTTTCTTGCCACTGGGGACTCCTACAGGACCATTGCGGGGAGCTTCAGAGCGGGCATATCCACCGTCTCCATGCTCATCCCAGATGTGGTGGCAGCCATCTGGGACTGCCTCGTGGAGGAGTTCATGGCTGTGCCTGGAGCAGAGGAGTGGAGGTCCATAGTGCAGGACATTGAGGTCCGATGGTTCCCTCTGTGCTGTGGGGCCATTGATGGGAAGCATGTGGCTGTGAAGGCACCCCCCAACTCTGGGTCCATGTTTTTTAATTACAAGGGGCACCATTCCCTTGTGCTCCTGGCTGTAGTGGATGCCCAGTACAGGTTCAGGGTGATTGATGTGGGAGGGTACGGCAGATCCAGCGATGGAGGCATCATGGCCAACTCTGCCTTTGGTGAGGCTCTGCGCGAGGGCACACTCGACCTGCCTCCTGACCAGTGCATACCTGGAGCTGACCACAGAGGACCCCAGCCCCATGTGTTCTTGGCAGATGAGGCCTTTTCACTGCGCTGCAATTTAATGCGCCCTGCCCATCTCCAGCCATGAGGATGGCTGGAGATGGGCAGGTTCCTGCACCGAGGGGAGCTGCTGCCGGTGAAGAACCACTTCCAGGCGTGCAGCGGATGGCCGCCTGGAAGCCAGCAGTGGACATAAGGAAAGTGTTCATGGCCCACTTCAGTGAGGAGGGAGCACTGCCGTGGCAGCCCACAGAGTAGTCATGTCCACCACAAGACTGACCCACAACGGCTCTTTTCAGAGCCACCCACAAAATACAAAGAGCCTAACTTCATTCCTAACATATAATGTGCTGAGCCTCTTGAATATGAAATTCTTTACATTTTTTCTGGCCATAGTCCAAACCCATATTGATTTGCACTATTCTATTCATCTGTATACCTTCTGTTTCTAGGTAATGACTGCCAGACTCCACTGCGACTCCACTCCAACTTCAGGTTAATCAAATGCACATTCAAGCTTTTCCGTAATTAAAAGGTTGTTAAAAAGGTGAAATGAATAAAAAATACTGTCAACTACTGTATCGCTCTTTAAGTGTTAGTTATTCCATCTTCTATAAAACCCAGTCAGCTCTTATAAAAGTAAATGGAATAGCATTTTCTGTCAATATTATATGAAAGGTAGTAATGGTTGGCTTGAAGTAGAACACATGAGGTTTGAAAAATATTTTCTTTATAAAAAAAGGAACAAACAATGAAAAATAAATTAAATGTACATATAAACAAATGAAAAGGAGCTTGCTTGGAGGAGGTGCGGTGGAAGAGGAAAGGGACACATGTCTGTTTCCTCCTCTGCAAAAGGTGTCACCTTAGGTAAAAAAAACTGTCTGTTCTGGCCAATGGTTCCAAATTAAGCAGAACGGTGCTGCTTTCATATAAAAGTTGGTACATTTTGAATTTCACAAATTATTTTGACTCTGGTGCCACCCTTTGCAGGAGAGGAAAGAGAGAGAGCAGGAACTGATGGTCTTCTGTGTAGTGGGGCGGTGCGGCTGCTTTGGTCCGTAGAGTCTCCAGCAGCTCCCGCTCCCACTCTGAAGGCCCACCAAGGAAGAGGGCTCGGAAGAGGCCCACGTCCGTAGAGCCGCCAACAAAGAACACAGGGCAATCACAGTGTTAAAAAGTGGAACATGTATTTCAAAAAAGCAAAATGAAGAGAGCAAATAATATCTGTATTAAAGCCAGAGTGTGTAGACATAGTTAAACACATGTAAAACACTTTTAAGTAGTGTGTTTATTAAAAATAACTTGAACATTGCAGTTATCAATGAAATTACTCACACAAGCACAAATTTCGACAGTTACAAACTAATATCTCTGAAGTGTATTTCGCAATGAAATTTGAAATTGGCTGTTAAAAAAGTAATACTCTATTGTCTGCATTAAACAGGATAGCTGCCATCTTGTGACAACCATTGCATGTATTTGTTCAGTACTTTTATAGCATAAGGTATTTCAGTAGTATGTTTTTATCGAAGAAAGAGGGAAGATGTGTTGTATCAGACCAAAGCTTCTTTCCACCTGTAGTGCCTTGACATCTTGTTGTTTCTCTGTAAATTTGTCGTCTACACTGATGTAACAGCCCTTGGGTAATTTTGGCATATTATGCAGTAACATTTTGTTTATATGAACAGTCCTGTAATAAGAATAAAAATAAAACAATGATTAAAAAAAGCCACACCTGTAGGTGCAGAAGCAGGGGAAGGTCCAGCCCTCACAGAAGAAGAACCGGCTGAGGAAGAAGAAGCAGCAGCAGCAGCAGCTCAGGCAGCTCAGGCCAAGATGTCTCACCTTGTGTGGTGGTGGCAGTATCTGTGCCAGAAGAAAACAAGAAATACAATTATTTCATATCATGTGTACATTGCGCTTATGACATTTATATGTACATAATAATGTACATTATTATTTACATTTAAATGATTTGTTCATATGAAAGGGAAAAGTGAAATTTAACACAACACATGATCAAGATCTATCCTGGTTTGAAAATAGCCAATGCCTATTTTCACCTGGCCATGATGTTAAGAAAGCATTAAAAGAAATGCATACACAGAAAGCAATATAAATGTAAAAGTCAGCAAAATGTGGGTAATAGAAAGGAAAGAAATGTATTTTTTCCAACTGTTCAAGGTCTCTGTTTGCTGCATGACACCGACCTTCAGCACCTGACAGCCCTGCTGCTGCTGCTTCCTCTGGCTCTTCTTCTGGGTGGTTGTACCAGGAACGTGCAGTCAGGGGAGGCAGGGGAGGCAGAGCCTCACCTGCCATTATTGGAAACTAATAATTATTTTAGTTTAAATATATAATTTATATCCACTGTCCTATGCTTTTAATGTATATTCGGCACGGTTCCCATCAGTTTTGATCATTTCTGAAGTCAAAATTGCCGAAATCCCGTTATTCCTATTCAAAGAGACGAGGTGAGGCAGCGCTCCTGCGTGCCTCACCCCAGACCGCTCCCTCACAGTGTGTGTGTGTGTGTCTGAGTGCACTCAGCTCGTGCAGTTGATATATCACCGTTTGTTTCAAATATCCTGCTTTAAAAACATTTTTTAAACTCCTCTTAGTGTTTAGTAGTGTATTGCACGTATGTGTGTACAATTTATATTTAGTTTAAGTCTTTTGATCGTAGATGAACACACAAGGAAAAAGCTTGGCGTGAGGCAGGCGGTATCTGTGCCTCACCGCTAGGGGTGATAGTGAGCATAAAGTTCATACCAGAGTTGCTAACAAACAATCAGCCCAAAATGCTATTTCTTTTGCTGGAAAATGGATGATTTGAATGAAGATTTTTTTTCTCAATTGGACTTTCAAACAAAGAAAGAATTAATATAGACTGGGAGACCACCACTGGACTTACGAGGTTAGTCCGGCTGCGGGGGAGGAGTTTGTTAATCTGTGTTTTATGTTGAACATTGACAGATACCGGCAAAGTAGTGCTTTTCCGAAAAACACTGATTCAAACACTGCTCAAGAGTTCTGCAACTTGTTTAAATTATTGTTTATGTTCCTCGCGTCTCTCTCTCCTCGCGTCTCTCTCTCCTCGCGTCTCCGTCTCTCTCTGCTCCTCGCGTCTCCGTCTCTCTGCTCCTCTCTGTCTCTCTCTGCTCCTCTCTCCTCGCGTCTCTCTGCTCCTCTCTGTCTCTCTCTGCTCCTCTCTCCTCGCGTCTCTCTCTCCTCGCGTCTCTCTCTCCTCGCGTCTCCGTCTCTCTCTGCTCCTCGCGTCTCCGTCTCTCTGCTCCTCTCTGTCTCTCTCTGCTCCTCTCTCCTCGCGTCTCTCTCTCCTCGCGTCTCTCGCACCTGCGCTTCTTAAAGATGTTGTTTGATGCGGAGCAGAGTCAGCAGCTAGATTTGTTGTGAGATTATTAAAAGAAGCTGGTTCTCTTATCTTTACAGTATATAAAGTTTGTGGATGTCATTGCATTGGTGATTAAATGCTATTTTATTTGAATAATGATTGTAAATCTGACTTTTAAAGTCAGTGCCTCCCCAATCACAAACCTCACCGCACGTCCCTGGGTTGTACCCTGTGGTCTGCTCCTCCTCGGCCCTTCGCCTTGGCATGTTCCCGGAGCTGTCACGGGGAGTGATGTAGGGCTCGAGGAAGGACATGACCACAAGGTACTTCCACGTCTGGCCTTTCCCTGCTTCTGCACCACTCTTCTTCACCTTCTCCTTCTCCTTCCTGCTCTCCTTAGCATATGTGTCCCTCAGATTCTTCCACCGCTTTTTGCAAACTTCCACTGAATAAACACATCAACTCGTAAGCCGGAAAGTAGTAGTTTTTTTCGCGGGGGAAATATTTACAACAGTGAAAAGTTAAAATAACTTACCCGAGACACCAACCACCTCGCTAACCCTCCTCCAAGCAAGCTCCTTTTTATTTCGGTCCCGGTAGCTGTGGTCCGCAGTGTTATATAGCTCAGAATGAGCACCGACCTGAGCAATTGACGTGTCCTCCATAGCTGTCATCTACTAGTGTTTTTCCGGTAGTGAAATGCGTCACTACGTCACTGTAGGAGAAAGCTCCTGATTGGTCGGCACACGCGAATTCTCCCAAAAAGTTCAACATTGTTCAACTCTAGCGGCGGCCGCGTTGGAGGCACGAATCGCGCGAAACGCGCGTCAAAACGCTTGACATCTCAAAACTCGCCGCGCGAAACGCTCAAATTCGCGCCGCTCTGGCCGCGCGAATCGCGCCGCGTGATCTCTTGCCGCTCCTTGGCGCGCGTCCCCCATGTTGTGTCAATGTAGACCCGCCGCTTTGCCCGCAGAAATCACGTTTGGTCTGAACGCACCATAAGTGCTAAAGTTACGGTAAACTCTGGACTATAAGGCGCGGTTCTTTTCCTGCACTTTGAAGGCAGTGGCTTATATTATTATTAATCTTTATTTCGGACTCAAGATAAAATTGGTCCATACAAAAATTAAAAGATCAACAATAAAAGGACAATGCATTCAAATGTGTAGTATCATTCCCAGCAGATTTAGATATGATAAAGTGTATCTGTCCAGTGCTTTCTCAGAGCAGACGTGTAGCGACATGAGCTCATTCTACCGTTGGTCAGAGTCCGAATGATGCCGTTCTCAGAGTCCTCCAGGCGTTCCTTGAACCGAAAGGTTAGATGCCGTATCAGAGCCTCACAGGTGTGAATGTGGGCTCTCACAAACATTTCACTGGCACTGTGCCACCTGGGCACCCGGAGCAGCAGCCACTTTATAGAAAGGTGTGGCTTATTTTTTTTATTTTTCTGTGGTGCCAAAAAAATTGAATTGATAAGTAGTTCACAGAGGTCCAGTTAGATTTTAAGATTTGTCATTTGCACTCTTGTATTCTTATAATATCTTTGACTGAAATCCAGTGTGACTTGTACAAGTAGAACATTCAATATCTCTCTAAAAAAGAGAGCATGCGATTTATATTCAGGTGCGGCTTATAGTCGCACCTACAGCATTTGAACGACTCTTATCCTAATTTTGACGTTAACAAACCAGACACGTTCCCAGTTTTTTAGGCCACATTAACGTACACTCAGGCCCTGTCTACACGTAGCAGGGCATTTATAAATCCGCCCTCCGCCTAAAAAAAAACTTCTGTCCACACAGCCTCGGTTTTTAAAAAAAACGGCATCCACACCTAACCGCATACATGCGTTGTCAATTACATTTCAAACCTACAAACCTACCTTCCTCCGGGAGGACGACTTCCATCTCAAAGTTCTCCCACCAGCTGGCAGTGCGTCCCGGTCTGACCCAAAATTGCCGTTGCCGTCTTTGACGAGGAACATGACTTGGACGAGGGATGGTTATTATGGCGGAAAATAGCCGACCTTAAAGTGCTCCTTCGTCTGTGCTCTTCAACGTGAAGCAGTATTTGAGCTTGTAAAAACAAGCAAGCAAAAAGTGCCTGAACAATCGTTAAAACAAAAGCGGTTTTGATGGCCTCCATGTTGTTTCTGATGTAAACACAGGTCGCGCGTGTGACGTCAGAGCAGCACGCTGGTAGTGACGTACAGCCGAATACTCCGGTTATTTATGTCCACACTCAAACGCATAACCGGAGAATTCCCAAATCTTCACTTTGGCCGGAGTTTTCAGAAACCTTCGTTTTTATCGTCAGAAAACTCCGGGTTTGTGTGGATGATAGGCCAGATCGTAGGAAAATATCTTCGGTTTGTGAGATACCCTGCTACGTGTAGACGGGGCCTCATTCAGCCGTTGTTCTCTATACTGTTTTTATTTTAAATCGCCTCAAGATGAAATGTCTATTCCTGGTTGGATTCGATTAAATGAATTCCCCCCAAAAATGCGACTTCAACTCTAGTGCGACTTATCTGTTTTTTTTCTTTCTTCAGTATATATTTTGTGCTGGGCTGATTTATTCTCCAGAGCGACATATAATTCCGAAAAAAAGGTAGTTATTTTGGTTGATTGCTGCAATAATCTATTAGTTATTTCTAGAAAAACTCCCGAAAAATGCTCATTTCCAAAACATCCAGTTGTAATTATTGCACTTTTCCTTTAGTTTAAAACCTGTTCTTTTCCGCTGCTACATTTCACATCCAGAATTTTTCAGTGAAAAAACAAGCTCTCATCGTTTCAAAAGCCGAGGTCTCTTTCCACAGTCAACATATACAGTAGGTCCCATTCCGTTTTGTCGTCTTCATTCACGCTTCTCGGGAATCACGCAGCTGCGTGAAAAATAGTACATCTTATCGCCACAAGGTGGCAGGCTAAGTCCGCTTTAGCTCTGCCAGCGACTTAGACGCTCAGGTATAAGACTGCGTGCAAACCTGTCTAGCCCAGAGGTGCTTTGTTGGCCGAATGGATAGCATTAAATACAGGGACCTGGAGAACCCAGGTTCGATTCTTGTCTGAGGCACATCTTTTGGTTGCTTGTGGCAAAATTGTTTTTTCATTAAACAATTATTATATAACATCTTGTCTTTAATGTCTGAAAAAATCTAGGTGAAATTCACTAGTGTTATACGTTAAATATTGTGATATGTTTTGATAAACCGAACGTTACGTTACATCCTCCGCTCTGGCCCCGAGAGCAGCTGCTGTGACCCCCGCTCTGACAGCTCAGTGAACGCACTGCCGTCTGGGCTTCCGAGCGCGGACCATAGACACGCGACTCACGTCTCTCTCTCTCTGCTCGCGTCTCTCTCTCTCTGCTCGCGTCTCTCTCTCTCTGCTCGCGTCTCTCACTCTCTGCTCACCTCTCTCTCTCTCTGCTCGCGTCTCTCTCTCTCTGCTCACCTCTCTCTCTGCTCACCTCTCTCTCTCTCTGCTCACGCCTCTCTCTCTCTGCTCACGTCTCTCTCTTTCTGCTCACGTCTCTCTCTCTCTGCTCACGTCTCTCTCTCTCTGCTCACGTCTCTCTCTGCTCACCTCTCTCTCTCTCTCTCTGCTCACGTCTCTTTAGTTATCGGGGTAAGAAATAACGGTCCGTTGAGATCTCCTTTCCGAGAGCGGAGGCGAGTGTAATGCATCATGGATCTGTAAGGACAGGGAGAAGAGTCAGACCGAGCTATAACTATATTACGAGCGCCTTTGCGTTTGGAATGCTTGATGTGAAGGTTGAAGTAGTCTCGGGATAGTAAGACAGGTCGGAGAAGGCAATGTCTCGGGCTGCATTGAAGGTGGTGTGGGGGTTAGTGAATTCGCTTATGCGTAAGAAGCCCATTTTCATGTAGGATGCAGCGGAGGAGAGAAGGTGAAGAGACGGAGGGACTAGGCCGGGCGAGGGATTCCGTGCAGGGGATCTGGCATGGCGATGGATAGGCAGAAGGGCAGAGGCGTCAGAACTCCTGGAATTTAAAGCGAGAGAGAGAGTCAGCAAGACAGTTAAGGTGACGAGGGACGTGACGAGCAGTGATGATAAATTGTTCGAGACTGAGAGCCATGTGATGCGTCTAAGGAGGGTGTGATTTGGGGAGAGGATGAACGACTTCTGTTAATTATTTCAATGGCGTCGAGGTTGTCGCACGTCACGGAAATCCTTTTCCTATGCCACGTATGGTTCCGCAGCACGCAGGCTCCGGTCACGGGATATATCTCGTGGAGCGCGGAGGAGATGCTTCGAGGGAAGCGTCGGGCCGGGGCCCGGCGAGCCACTGGTCCTGGAAAACCCCCAAAACCCACGGACGGGGCTGCGTCCGTGAAGAACCGCGGGGCATCTGAGACAGGATGATGTCACTGTAAAAAAAAAAAAAAAAGAGATACACCATCCCAGCGGCTCTGCACCAGGACCGGAACGCCAGGTCGGAGCAGCGCCCCGCGTCCGGGCAGACGCGTCATCGAGGGAGGAGACGGAGCCGGCGAGGGAAGGAGTCTGGAATTAAAAGAACGACCTTGGGGAACGATACAGACGGCATAAAGAAGATGCCCGAGGAGGGAGAACAAGGACGCCTCGAAGTGACGGGAAGGCCGGGGCAGACCGGGAGAAAGCGCGGATGCGTTCGAGCTTGTCCAGCGGGAGGGAGGCCTCCATGGCGCGTGTGTCGAGGCGGATGCCGAGAAACTCCAGAGCGTTGGCGGGGCCTGTGGGCTTTCCGGAGTGGAGGAATCCGAGGGCAGAGAAGGCGGGCCTGAGCTTGCGGAGAGAGCCCCCGGAGCAGTCTGAGGGTGGGTCGACTATGAGGGAATCATCGGGGAGATGGAGACAGGGGGGAGCCGCGCAAAATTAAGCAGAATCCGACACGGCGCCTCCGAGAGATTGTTGAACGAGAGGGACTACTCCGGCAGTCGAAGGTGAGGCGCACTGCGAAGAACTCCGACGCCACTTGACCCCTGAACAGCGCCAGTGGTCGGGGTGGATGGCAGCAGTTTGAACGCGACCGGGATGACGGCCTTGGAGAGCCAGGAGCCGGGGCCGAAAGTCTTTATCAGCCTGATCGCGTGGTCCACGGTAGCGGACTGCAGGGAGAAGGGCGCTGGAGGGAAGGGGCTGTTGATGCTCGGGCGGGCCCGGAGCGGGGACAGGAGAGGACGGGTATGAGACGCTTCTTCCTGGAGTGCTTGCGGGTGGCGATGCCCATCGGGTTAGAGCGAGACGGAGAGAAGGGGCCAATGACGTAGCCCACGGACACCTCCCGCGCCCGAGCCGCGTGCCGGCTTGGGGCTCACGGAGAGCCGGGAAGAGGTTGCGGGACACGAGACGCCGAGGGACCTAAACAGAGCTTGCAGTCTAATGTGAGGGATTTAAATAGAGCTTGCAGTCCAAAGTGAGGTATTAAAACTGAGCCCGCAGTCCAAGTGAGGCGTTTAACGGAGAGCCTGCAGTCCGGTGCGAGGGAGTTAAACGACCTGTAGTCCGAGGTGAGGGAGTTAAACGATGGGAGAGATCCAACAGAGCCTGCAGTTTTTTTTTATTTTTTTATTTATATATTTATATTTATTTATATTTATATTTATTTATTCACATTTACATTTATTTATATTTATTTATTTTTATATATGAGCGTTCCAGATACAAGCAGTACCATATATGCAGTTCCAATATGAGCAGTTCCATATAAGCAGTTCCATATATAGCAGTCCCATATATAGCAGTTCCATATATAAGCAGTTCCATATATAGCAGTTCCATATATAAGCAGTTCCATATATATAGCAGTTCCGCATGAAGCAGTTCCGGGTACGGTATAACAGCTCCAGATATAAGCAGTTCCAGATATAACAGATCCGTGCGGGATTAACCTGGGAGCTCGCAGTCCAATGTGAGGGATTCAATTTGGGAGCCGCAGTCCAGAGGGATTTAAACGGGGCTTGCAGTCCAAAGAGAGGGATTTAAACAGAGCTCGTAGTCCAGAGGGATTTAAGAGAGCCTGCAGGCCAAAGTGAGGGATTAAAACTGAGAGCGCGCAGTCCAATGTAAGGGATTAAACTGAGGTCTTGCAGTCCAATGTGAGGAATAACGGAGCTTGCAGTCAGAGTGAAGGATTTAAACGGAGCTTGGTTAAGAGAGCCTGCAGAACAATGCGAGGGCTTTAAACTGAAGCTTGCCCACCATGCACGGGGCCACTGAGCCTGCAGTACAATGCGAGGGGAAAAACCGTCCGCAGATCTCATACTTACCCACAACGCCAGAAGACAAGGGACAACACAACGGGACCACGCCGTACCACACGAGGAGGCAGGGATGCGCACAGCCCCCACCGCACCGGGCCAGACCGGCCGTATGCAGCAGCAGGCCGCGACGAGACGAGCAGCGGCGAACCCGCAGAAAGAGCCCGCAAAGGAGGAGAGCGGCAAAGACCCACGGACCACAGCACGAGACCCGCAGCAGGAGCAGCGACGTGGAGGAAGAGCGGACCACACGCAGCAAGACAGAGGACAGCAGGGACCGCAGGAGTAAGCGTGAGTAGACAAAAGCGATTCCTCCAGAACGATTCATGCAAGGCTTCGAGAAGGCAGAGAGTGGGAGTTTCTCCGCTTTTAAGCGGCTTGCCTGGCCGGTGCGGTGATTGGAAGGGGCGTTTGCAGCGCGATAGGCTGGGGATGAGAACCGGCCTGGAGGGGTTACCTTTGGCTGACGTCTACCAAATTGAACTTTCGCTGGCTGCATTTCACAAAATCGCTGTGTGTTTGAACCATCTACGACCTTGTTAATGGAACTGCTGTTTAGGTTATTATTTAAATGAATGTGAATATAATCAATCTAGACAACTTTTGGGTTGACCTACATCGGAGTGTGGGAAATCTACAAGTGAGGTGTTGAAACCAAGTTAATAATTATCCACATTGTCCACGATTGGGGTGTTTTGGCCGTGTAAGGACGCAC